ATATTTCAGGAATCAACTTTTAGTTCTACCAGCACTGGTAGGGCTATACATCCATGTTAATTTTGCCTTACATTGTACCTTCATTTATAACACGGCTTAATGCATGCGTCGTTTATACACGGCGCTAATTTATTAAATCCAGAGTAAACAACATGACAGACACGCATAGATGCGATATCAAACCAAAAAGTTAGGACAAATACATAAACCCAATATTGTCGCACAATAAACTGACAAAAACGTTATGTATGAAATATGCCGCAACCGTTTCCCTCTTAAAAAACGCCTGCAGTCGCAGTAGTTCGAATGTTTTAGTTTTAATTAAGCAAGAGACAAAGGATACAATGGGTTCACAAAAATCTATTGACATGATAAAATACGTTCAAGTTACTATATTTAATCAACGTTAATGAATGCCAAACCCACAATAAAAGCAAATGCAGCAGTAGCGCTGTGGTACCAACAACAACAATTACACAAGTATGAAAGGTTACCGTAACAACCCAAATTCTAAGGTGTAGTTAAACGGGATATTATTATTTAGGTAATTTCTCAGGAATGAGTAGACGAGCAGGATAGTTGGACGCGCCGACTGATAAGCTTCGATAATTAACCACTTTCCAATCTTCCATCCACTGCCCAAGTGTATTCTTCGGTCTTCCGAGTGGACTCCCCAGCGGCTTCCCATTTTCGATCATCAAGCTTCGCGCCTTTCAACGATAAGGGCCAACCAGCACACTAAAAGTAGTAGCAAAGGCATCAGCGGCAGCACAACAACCACAGCAGTAGCAATAATATTTTGGCAGTTGTGCGGTGAAGCAGATCCCAATTTGAGGATCTGATCGCAATTTCCTTAACTTTTGTCTCCTACAGTCACCTACGGTAGAACTTGTCCGTAGCTAACGCTTTTAAGTAGTTGTAAAGCAGACGACTACCAAGAGAAGACCATGCAAGATCGCGAGCGATGACAAAGACGCTATCTCAGCTCAAACACAACCCAAAATTGGATTAATAACTTGTATCGCGTATTACGATTTTTAAGTGAGCAACATCGCGCATAGCGATTTGAGCGGGTCACCATTTTGGGAAAGATTGCAAACTCATGTGGCATGGAAACGACGCGTGACGGTCGATAAAAGCATACCGGGTAAGTTTAGTCTTTTTTTAATTAATTGACATGAAACAAATATTAATTTGCTTTCAATAACACGCGTCATCACTTACGGGTATGGTTATTTGGCTTTACTGGAACAACTTGCGATAGATCACCCCAGAATTATTTGTCCAAGAGTGCATGAACTCTCACCCGTACCTAACTGCTACTACCCGCAGTCAACTCTAGTGGTTCCGGTACAAGAAACGACTTAAGTGGTCAGAAGGCTCGCGAATCAAAGATTGACTTTGTTTGATGTGATCTCGAGGGAGATCCGAACAACTTGATCGACATCGGCTCAAGTCCACTAAAAAGGACGCAAAAAATCATCTCTACCTACGGGCACACAAGGTGAGAGGGCAATACATCTACATGTGATTGTAGTTCCCCTCCGGTAGCTAGTTGTCTGGGCGCCAGTAAAGAGTTGGAATCTTAATATCAGATTAAAAAATTCTACTTCACCACAACATCAGTACCAACAGCAGCAGCAGCAGCGGCAACAACGACATTAGCATCATTAACGAATCAACGAATGCAAAAATAACAAGACAACAAGATAAGTAAAAGCAGTATTTGTATCATTCTAAAAAAAGCATCAAGAAAATTTAGCAACAACAAAAATAGAAACAGCAACATCTGTAGCAGCAACAACGACACTAGCAACAAAAGTAGCAGCAACTGATAGAGCAAAAAACAACAATGGCAACAGTGTCGTTGTAAAAACAATAAAAATAACAACAATATACATACCAATAACATCAGCAACCACTGTCTAGATTTACGACCGCGCCCGACTATACGAAGACGCGTTCACGTTTTTCTTCTGTGCCGTCAAAAGTGGCTGTGAGCGCATCACGCCCGAGGCAGAACCTCTCTGAAGATGCCTCTGCAGGGAGGGTGTTGACCACGGCCGTATACGGCAATAGTTAGTACCAAAAGACGTGAATTTTTATGTGAGCCACATTAACTGATAGATACTAGGCCATAGGGTATCTATGTTATTATCCAAGGCTTTTATTTTTGTAATTCAATGAGGATTCCTTCTTCCCTCTTTATTGCAAGCCCGAAGGGTAAGGCAATAAGTGCAGGCCCCATGATTATTTAGATTCGCTATAAAAACTCTGTCCTTTTCCGCAATTTTAACTTAAGGTGATCCGCAAGTTATGGAACCTCGCAGCGGACTGCGTGCAAATAATCGGCGGAAGGCAGGAATGCTCGTAACAATTCCAGACGCTTCAGGCTACCTGCAAATTCTTAAAACGACTTGCGTTCACCCGATCGTCTATAAAAAGATTACGTCTTTTTAGTCTGCTCATGTGTTGCAGTTTAAAGTCGGGTTTAGTCAAGGGATATTAAAGGCGGCGGGACCTGCTGGTGTCTGTTCTGCGTGCACGAAAGTCGAGACAAGGTCGAGGTCGGCCATAACGGTCTCAAGCGAAAGAGAAATGGCATCATCAAGGTGTTTACCGCGCCGTTTTAATCGCACGTGTACCGCAGCCGCTTAGAGTCTCTGCACGCCAGCCCGTAGGCGCTCTACAATGAATGTCGTGCGCAAAAAAAACCTGTACTTTGCAATCCAGATCAAGCCTTCCAATACGCTGCATCGTCATAGGGAGCTCAAGGAAGGCACGCTGACGTGATACATCAGCGCTCGCATCGTCGAAACTATTATTGACGGCAAGTTTCTTTCGCGAAGACGAGGTGCTTGTCAAATCCGACGCCGAAGACTATAGTGACGACGGTGAGGTCAACAAGATCGAGTAGAAGGCTGCCAAGAAGATTAAGTAGAAGACCAACTACTTGTAGCTGTTTGTAAAAAAGAGAACGATGCTGATTGGAACGAAGTCACCATCAAGAATTTCATGTGGCTTAATTTGGTGATGGACCACGTTTCGGTCGGCTTGTCGTTCAGGCCGCGTCCGTCATCTAAAACTAAAGGGACCACACCAGGGCGTCAACACTGACTAGTATGAACGACGTGATATTTGGCAATTCCACGTATTAGTCGGAGACTCTACGTAAGTAGTTCCAGACTTGTTGGGTGACAGGTAAGCAGTCTAGCTTTCCTTTGACCCAAGCATGCATCGTGATCAGTATTTCTTCGACATCGCGTGCGGTTGTGCTTTAAAGGTCGGCCTTGCAACATCCGTTTGGATTGGCTCCTAATCTTCGATCGCCACACGGCTAAAAGCATCTTCAACCTTCTCAACAAGTTTCTGGACGCGCTCTACCCAGACTCGCATAGCAAACTGCTAGTCTTTTCTTGGGATGGCAAAAATATATGACTGGGCTACGCGCTGGTATCGTCACTTGCATTGCACGTTGCGCAAGTCTCAACGTGCTGCGTGTGTGATGCGCGCCGCATCAGATCGACGTCGCCGTCAAGTCGGCAGCTGACAGTATCAACGACGGCGCCTTTATGAAAAAATTTACTCTTTGTCCGTCTACCTGCGGTCTTAATGCAACTTGGTCATCACGATTGGTGTTAAGTATCCAAAGTAGACAAACCGGTAGGTGCATCTCGGTTGAGTCCTCGACTTCAAAAAGAATTATTGCCAGCAGACCATGACGCACATCGAGTAGAAGCATCCCGAGGATTAGCCGCTACCGAATAATGACTCGTGACCTATGAGTTGACGCCTGTATATGATAAAACCACAATTTCTTTCGCCAGGTTGCAGAGCCGGTCGCTTCAATTTGCGTGACCGAAGGAATTCGTCAATGCATTGATAGGCACTCTCTTTAGCATGTTCCGCGTCGATTCTGTCCATTCGGAAGAGCGCGACGAGGATCGAGAGGCTTAATATGTATTTATCGGCTCTATGTGTATAAACTTCGCCAGCATCGAACAATACGATGTGATCAAGGGTATCCTGCTGACGAGCACTTTGATCATCTGGAAGTCGACAATCAGAAGACGGTTACCAGAAAGATTGTGGTGTACGCTGCCAAGCTGGTCACGGATTTATTAATAATTTAAAATGGGTTTTAAGGCTGAGCGTGACGAAAACACCTGCCGCTAAAAAACGATGTGCCACCTGTCACGCCTCAGCAGTTGATTAATCTGGTGTCGTCAAAGTTTACAAAAGGACGTGCTAAACATGCACTGTACTCTCCTCGTCAAGTTGAGGAGATCGTGACCAACCATCGGGACCTTTTCATATTGTACGGCGGTGACATCGCAGTCCGGGAGGCGAACGAAAAGCGTGACAAGCACACGCTGTTCAATGACGTATGTAAATATGTTTCCCGTTTAAAAAGGCTTTCGCGCTTTTTGCGGTGACATCTCTACGGTGTCTAATGCGAGTTTTCGATCCTTTAATACGAACTGGACGAGCGCCACATTACCCTCATGCACCTATTGTAACGGGGTGAATCGTTACATAACAATTTATAAGAAATTGTTAATAGAATATAACTATAAGAGTTATATTCTCAGAATATTGTCATAAGGACAATATTCTGTAGCACTTCCAAGTAGTTCCTAATTGGTTGATATAGGCCATTATATCAACCAACGAAGACGCGCCACGACAGACGCACGCAATGAGTGGTGAGCAGATAACTGATTTACACATTTGTATTTAGACATAGTTAGATGAAGATAAATAGTGATTTATTGCAGACATTAACTATTATAAATACAGTTCTACTTTTACTCTAACCAAGTACTCGCTTCTTCTTACCGTCTTCCTCTGCACGTACGAGTGTACGTGAAGTTACGAGGCACCGCCTTATTCTGTTATCAGAATAAGTAGCTTGTACTGTCACCAGTACAAGCTTCAGGGTGCCCCGTTACACCTGGTAGCACTTCGTAGTCCGTCCAAGGACCACGTTCACATCCAACATGAATATGTTGGATGATGAAGAAGACCAAAGCTTTCACGCTACGCGTGACGGCTACTCCCATTTGAGCGATGTCGAATGGGATGCGGTTGAACGAATGGGTTCGACCATGGGCATCCATGCTGTTAGCGTCATGCTAGAGGCTCTCAATAGAGATGCCCAACATGCTACTATCGCCAAGTTCATTCAAAATGAACTTGACGCAGAACGCGAGAAAGTAGCCTTGCTTCACCAACAAGGTTCTCAACAAGCAGAGTTGTTGAGAGAACAAGGTGCTCAACAGTTTGAACTGTTGAGACAGCAGCAGGCTGCTGCTGGCGGGTCGATGCACTCGCGTCGGCCCGAGACTTTGAAGATTGACATCTCCAAGTATAGGGGGTCGAAGAAGACTCCCTCTTGAGATGGTTCGTCGAATTGGATGACGCCATAAGGGCGCGTCGCATCGACGACGGGGATATGCAAGTTGCATTTGCCCAGTCAAATCTGGCAGGACGTGCCAAGACTTGGGCACTGGGGCTCAAGCTGCACGACCCATACGCGTTTGGGTCGTTGGAAGTCTTCAAGTCGCGGCTCAGACAAACGTTTGAACCGCCTAGAGCTGAGTTCAGAGCTCGAACCGAACTCTTGAAGCTCAAGCAGGGTAAGCGTGATGTGCACGCTTACGCTCAACATATACGACATCTCACGAGTTGTATAAGTTCCAATCCGGTGGATGAACACACGTTGGTTTCGGTGTTCATGCAGGGTCTTGCGGATGGTCCCGTCAAGACTCACCTGTTCCGGCTTGAACTAGATTCACTAGAACAAGCCATTTCAATTGCGGAGCAGGAAGACTTCAGTCTGAGACAGGCTCGCGCCAGCTCGACATCATATCGTCAACCGAGACGATATGACAACGGAGGTCCAGAGCCGATGGAACTCTGTTATGTAGAGAGCGAGAAGGCTCGCTCTACAGGCTACAAGAAGTTGCAGAGATGCAACAGATGTCAAAAGACAGGACACTACGCTTACGAGTGTAGTGCCCCTCGTCCAGTGTCTCGCGACACTGGGCGTAGTGACCGTCCACCCATGAGAAAGGGGCAGGGACGAGGGTCCGCAGTTGGTGCAAAGACGCAACAACGGGATGGACCGTCAAAAACCGGACAGGATCAGTAGGTGCGGAGCACCCTACTGATCCAGCAACGTCAAGAGAATTTGTAGGCCTCTTGATGAAGGTTGCTCCCAACACACAGACATTGTGCGTTGCTGCTCTAGGTAATGAGATCTCACTCATTACCTTGAAACTCGAAGTGACGAATAAGTTGTCCCTTCGAGCTCTAGTCGATTGTGGGGCGTCCAACAATTTTGTGCGACGCCAATCGCTAGAAGATGGTCACTTTAAATTCAGTGAATGTGACACACCTCCTACGAGGATGACGGTACGTCTTGCGACAGGCGCATCCGTAACCGTCATGAAGCGTATAGTGAAGATTCACTATACGCTAGAAGATACCCAATACGACGATGACTTTATCGTATTGGATTTGGATGACAAATTTGATGTCATCCTTGGAATACCGTGGCTCAGAAGGTACGAACCACGGGTAAACTGGCAACATCGGACAGTAACGATGCCTGCCGCTTGTTCATCAGATGGCCATCTGATGAACGTTTTGGAGAGTCCACAAGCGTGTGGATGTACTACGAGTGAGTGCGATGGCCTCACTTGTGGTACGGTCGTTAGTACGACTGCACAAAACCTTAGTGTACCAAACGGTTACACTTCGGAGCAAAGTTCCGGCGGCTGTGAGGAAACACAGGCTGCGCCGAAGGTCCACCACTCGAATAAGTCGGGTGGACTGGGACAAAGATGTATCCCTAGAGGGGAACATCTAGAAGAGAAACAATCGATCGCTCAGGTTGCGAAACGATAATCCTAGATCGACTGGAGAGTCTTTCGTAGAGGATCTCGCTGTGGTTGCGCAACCCCAGCTAGAGGAAGTAAAGGGAATAAGTCCCAAGATTACAAATACGGCGGAAATAAGTTCCCCGAAACCCGCGGGAATAAGTCCCCGGGAAGACGAAGGAATAAGTCCTTCGAAGCCTGAGGGAATAAGTCCCCAGGAAATGACAGAGACATTGAATGTCATAGTCAATAACGGATCATGTGTAGGCGCTTATACACTTGATCTGATTGCGCCTCCGAAGTTAACTTCGGAGATCACTCAGTTGCCAACGCTCGAACATAAAAGATTCTTGCGTGATCTGCGTAGTGGCAAAGTCAAGCAGATCTGCATACTCGTCGCTGAAGACGAGTATGTAACCGACATAAGGTCAGCAACAGTGTTCACTGAGAACGAGAGAGTTCTCAGTAGTTCATCTATGGACGAGAGTGTCCTAGATGAAAAGACACGAATTGAGCGATATGAGTCCCAATCATGGGAATCGCTCAAGGAAAATCCTCTCTATGAAGATTTGGTTGAATTCAAGGATGTATTCCCTGAAACTGTTCCGTGCGAATTACCGAAGGATAAAGGTATTCGACACGAAGTCGAGCTTAAACCAGGCTCGAAGTACTGTGTCATGAAGCAGTGGCCACTGCCTCGTGAACAAGTACTTGCGATCGACAAGTTCTTTGCCGATCGTTTAGCAGCGGGCCATGTGAGGGAATCAACTTCCCCACATAGCTCTCCGACCTTCTGTGTGCGAAAAGCAACAGGAGGGTGGCGGATAGTGCACGCGTGTAACAAATTGAACGCTGCAACGGTACCGGCTCAGACGCCGATACCGAGGAAGGACGTAATCATTGATGGTATGTCAAAGAGTACCATCTTTTCGTCCATGGATTTGATGGATGGCTTCTATCAAATCCTAATGCGGGAACGGGATATACCCTATACCGCAGTTAGCACGCCTAGCGGCATGCTCTGGGAATGGCTAGTAATGCCACAAGGGCTCAGTAATGCCCCTGCCACGTTCAACAGGGTGTATCACATCTGTTGAGGCCAGTACGAGAATTCGCGCCGAGTTATTTCGATGACGTATTCATCCATAGTCGAGCTATGGATGGAAAGTCGGACGTTGAGGTTCACAAGTACCACGTCCGACAAGTTCTTACAATCATGCGAAAGCATCAATTGTATGCAAACCTCAAGAAGTGTATATTTGCAGCAAGCGAAATACCACTTCTTGGGTGCATCGTTGGTAAGAACGGTGTACGTCCTGATCCCGAAAAGATCAAGGCGATCACCGACTGGCCCGTGCCGGTCGATGTCAAAGGTCTTCGAAAATTCCTTGGGCTAGCGGCGTATTTGCACAAGTATTCACGCAATTACGCCGAGATGACTGTACACCTCTCTCGTTTGTTGAAAAAGAACGAGAGGTGGTTATGGAACGCTGAATGTCAACGCTCCTTTGAGGGTATCAAGCAGAGCTTGATACAATCCCCAGTCCTAGCAATAGCCGATCAGGACAGGCCATTTCATGTGGTCTGTGATGCCAGCGATTTCGCAATCGGCTGTGCATTAATGCAGTACGACCTTGAAGGCGTTGAACGCGTCGTCTGCTATCAGTCGCGTCAGCTGCAACCAGCTGAGCGGAACTATCCAGTGCATGACAAGGAACTCCTTGCCATGAAGTATGCACTCGCGAAGTTCAGAGTCTATCTATTAGGAGATAGACCCTTCGTTGTTTACACTGACCATGCGTCATTACGCACGGCAGTGAACAGCCCGCACCTTTCACAACGAATGGCGCGGTGGTTGTCATTCTTTGCAGAATACAACTTTACGGTCGAGTACAAACCAGGACGACTTAATGTCGTCGCTGATGCACTCTCACGTCGTCCCGACTTTGAAACAGTCGCGAAACCCAACAGTGAGACAGTCACTGTTGCGGTTATGACGTCCTCAGTTCCATCTACAACGTTGTATGATGATGTGAGGCGGGCATACGCCCAAGATGGTGAGATAGTGAAGTTGTTGTCACATCTCTCCCAACCATCTCGAGAATCGTTGAAACGATTGTCGTCTGCGTATCGATCTGCATCAGATCGATACACTACTCGTAACGGTTTACTGTACTATACAGCCGTTTCTGGTGACACACCACGTGTTGTCATTCCAGATGATACTGATCTGCGTTTGCGGATCATGTTCGAGTATCACGATGCTCCTATAGGAGGACATCGTGGCCGAGAGAAAACATATCTCACGGTAAGTCGAGACTTTTACTGGCCCCGCCAGTATCAGTTTGTGCGAAAGTATGTTCGCGCATGCGAAGTCTGCCAGCGAGTGAAGTCAAGTCCTTCACTGCGTGCACCTTTACAGCCTCTACCGGTTCCGGCTGAGTGCTGGGAATCCATCTCAATGGATTTTGTCTTCGGGTTACCCAAAGACGCACGCGGGAATACGGGTATTCTCGTATTTGTTGACAGATTCAGCAAAATGGTACACCTTGTGGCTGTACCAGAGACAATCACGGCAAGTGGCTGTGCTTGTGTCTTTATTGACACCATCTTCCGACTTCATGGGTTGCCCCGTGAACTCGTATCAGACAGAGATCCACGATTCACTGCTGATTTCTGGCGTTCCGTGTTCAAATCACTCGGAACGCGCTTGAAGATGTCAACATCTGATCATCCAGAGTCAGATGGTCAGACGGAACGTGCCAATCGTGTCCTTGAAGAGATACTTCGAGGATACGTACACTCCTTTAAGAGTTGGAGTGAGTTTTTGCCGATGGTAGAGTTTGCCATCAACAACTCGGTGCATGCGTCCACGACACATACACCGTTTTACGTGAATGGCTTGCGCCATCCGCGTGTACCCACCTTACTAGAGTGTAACTCTGGTTTAAGGGGGGAGGGACTCGCGCGAGCAAAAACCGATTTGGTTCACGCTCATCACGCTCTGACGAAGAAGTCATTGCGTTTGATGCCGATATCGATAACATCGATATCGAAGAAGATGATGCCAGTGAGAGTGCGGAAGCCCTCACTGAAGACAATGATCCCAGTGAGAGTGCGGAAGCCCTCACTGAAGAAAAGGTTGTTGTCGCTGCAGTGCGCTCACAGCACACTGAAGCTAACGAGTCATCAGATGAGTTCATACTGGCTCGTGAAACGGTAGTCCGTTTTGTGCAAGACTCCATCGCCGAAGCGGTGGATAAGCAAAAAGCAAAACGCTGACAAGAATGGAAGGGCAAACACTCTTTTATTTAATAAAGGTGACTTAGTCCTACTGTCTACGGTTAATCTACCAAAACATGTAGTGACTAACTTGGGTAGCAGTAAACTACTACCCAAGTACATTGGCCCATTTCGTGTATTGCACCGCCTAGGCAATGCATACACGATCGAGTTACCACGTAAGATGCGAACGCATCCCACGTTTTACGTTGGTCGGCTTAAGCCGTACAATCAGTACGCTGCTTCTTCCGATGAAGAACGCCCTTGCGCTCAAGCATCTCGCAGAGAGCCTTGTGCTCCCGATGGTGGGCATCAACAAGGGTCTGAAGAGCAGTTATCTCAGCCCGAGACCGATCAACAATCCCACGAGCTACCCTTAGCTCGTCACGAAGAGATGTCAGAGATCTCTCGTTCTCAAGCTGAGCAAAGGCAAACTCAGCTCGATGCTTCTAGGCAGTGTCCACCATCTGGAGACGCCTATTCCGCTCATGCTCGAGATCGTCGCGTAACCCTTGCGTTACGCGATCAAAAAGCTCTCGGGAACACACCGATCCACATGATCGTGTGGAGAGCGTCTTTCCTCCTCCTCCACCTCCATTAGAGGACTCTCGCGGTGGCCAGCGCTATCTAGTAGAGCAGCTGTTGAACCACCGCGACGTGAACGGACGTCGGACGAGTTACCTCGTCCGGTGGCGCGGCTATCCCCCGTCCTGGGATTCTTGGGAGCCCCGCTCCCAATTGATGGTTGACGTACTGGGTCTGGTCGAGCAGTACGACGCGACACATCCTGTGCCGCAGAAGGACCGCCGGAGAAAGTCTTCCCGGCACGGTCGTAAAGGGATTTCAGGTTGTCAATCCCTTCGTACATCTCAGTAGAGACACGTACGCGCCACCACGGGCTGGTAAGGAGGTAAGCCTCCTTAGGTGCTCGTGCAGAGTTGTTCACACAACATGGGCACGAGTCTCCCCCAAGAAAGGCAGGGTAATC